TATTCTTTTCTACAGTACCATTTTCAACCTGGGGTGCCCACATCTTTCATTCTGCAAAGATTAAAACATGAAGTATAGATCCAAAATAAACAAATAAGTAAATCAGTCCATTTAAAATGATGAAATTGATTTAAGAGGAGTTACTCAAAACTTCATAATTTTTTTTTTTAGAGATTTTATTTATTTATTTGACAGAGAGAGATCACAAGTAGGCAGAGAGGCAGACAGAGAGAGAAAGAGAGAAGCAGGCTCCCTGCCGAGCAGAGAGCCCGATGCGGGGCTCGATCCCAGGACCCTGAGATCATGACCTGAGCCGAAGGCAGAGGCTTAACTCACTGAGCCACCCAGGCGCCCCTCAAAACGTCATAATTTAAGGTTCATTTTTAGTAGTACTTTCAGCAAATGAGAGAAGCTGAAGTGAAATCACTCAACTGTTGCAAGGTCAGTTATAAAAAAAAAAAGGCAGTATTAACCCCAGATTACTAGTGACAAAACAGCAACTCACCAAAAAGGTTCAATAGCGGAGTTCAGAGAAGTCATACAACACTCACTCCTTTCATACCAAAGCCAGCCCTATTATTTTTATTCCTTCTCAATTATTTTCATAAAAATCACTTCTGGAGGGGCACATGGGTGGCTCAGTGGATTAAGCCGCTGCCTTCGGCTCAGGTCATGATCTCAGGGTCCTGGGATCAAGTCCCGCATCGGGCTCTCTGCTCAGCAGGGAGCCTGCTTCCCCCGCCCCCGCCTCTCTGCCTACTGGTGATCTCTCTGTCAAATAAATAAAATCTTAAAAAAAAAAAAAAATCACTTCTGGAGAGGCAAATTATTATAACTTTCCCATATATTAACAATAAAAAATACCATGTCTTTCTACAGAAGAAATATCATGGACTCAAAGCCACTTCTATAACATCTATACATTTTTACTGATTAACTACAAACAATATTTGACCTATATCTAAACCCACATGTAAGCTCAAAAGTCTGCCAGACCTAATAATTTCCTATATGAAATTATGTGCTAATATCTCAATTCTGAAACTCAAGAGCACTATTTGTACACTACTTCCAGGATTCAGATTTTTTATGTAAATGTCAAATGACAGGTTCAGGAGCTTTAGAATCTGACTCATTTAGTCATTCAATTCAGAATCTACCAGGTGTTGTTGTTGTTGTTGTTTTAATTTTATTTATTTGAGAGAGTGTGAGCAAGAGAGAGAGAGAGATCACAGGAACAGGGCAGAGGGCTGAGCAGGGAGTGGGACTCCCAGGACCACTGAGCCCATGACCTGAGCCCAAGGCAGACACTTAACCAGTGGAGCCACCCAGGCGCCCCTCTACATTTTCCTAAGCAGCAGTTCTCAACTAGGAGCAATTTTGCTCCATGTCCCCTGGCGTGAGGTGGGGGGCAATGTCTGGAAACATTTCTGGTTGTCACAACTGGAGGAAAGGGTTGCCAGAAGAGGTTCTACTGGCATCTAGTAAGTAGAGGCCAGGATGCTGCTAAACATCCTACAAACCATAGGATACCCCTCCCCCCAACAAGGAACAATCCATCCCAAAATATCTATAGTGCCAGGCTGAGACACTCATCTATAGAAAAGTTTATAAACACTTTGGAGCACCTGGGCAGCTCAGCCAGTTAAACATCTGCTTTCAGCTTAGATCATGATCCTGGAGCCCCAAGATCAAGTCCCTCAACAGGCTCTATGCTCAGCGGGGAGTCTGCTTCTCTCTCTGCTCCTCACCCTGCTTGTGCACCCACAGGTGCTCTTTCTCTCTGACACACTCTTTCTCTCTCAAATAAAGTAAAATCTTAAAAATAAACTAAGTACCAGAAAAAAATTTTTTTAAAGATTTTATTTATTTATTTGACAGAGAGAGATCACAAGCAGGCAGAGAGGCAGGCAGAGAGAGAGGAGGAAGCAGGCTCCCCACAGAGCCGAGAGCCCGATGCGGGGCTCCATCCCAGGACCCTGAGATCATGACCTGAGCCGAAGGCAGAGGCTTTAACCCACTGAGCCACCCAGGCGCCCCATTAGTACCAGAAAATTTTTAAAGAAGTTTATAAACACTCATCTGTCTAGAAACAGTACTCCATCTTTATTTCCTATATTATCTGCTAATGACAGTCTTTTCATACTAAACTTCAGCAACAAAGTTACCCTGTCCCATCCTTTCGATCTGCTTCTGACTTCCAAAATTGTTGATAAAATAATTATTACTTCAGCCAATTTCAAAACCTCCTAGTCTCTGACTCACCCCTAAAAATATACTATTTTTATAATAGTAGTGGTAGTAATCACAGCAGCTAACGATATTAACTCTTACTGTTGGTCAGGCAATAAGTGCCTTATGAATATTAACTAATTTAGTCTTGGTACTATTATTAATGGTGCTCTTATCCCCATTTTACCAATGGAGTCCAAGGCATAAAAAGTTAAATAATTGCCCAGAATCACACAAATAAACAGGTGAGGCAGGTTTCAAATCCAGGCAGAACGGCCGCAGAGTTCATGCCCTTAATAAATACTCCAAAGTGATCTCTCTTCTTTCATTCTCTATACTGAATCATGAAGTCCTTCAAGTTCTATAAGGGACAGCAACATTCCCAGAGCCCAGTTAGATAACAGGTAGTCAAAAAAACTTTTGTTTATTGAATGAAATATCCCTTAAACTTACTCCTATTTCCTGTGCCTCCACTTAAGGCCAGTCTTTCAGCATTACATACCTGGGTTTGCTGATATATCCTATGAATTCGCCAATCATGTAAACTGATATAAACTCCTCTGCCACATTTTCCATCACCCGGGCCCAATCAAACATATCCAAAGCTTTCTTGCCATCACTTTAATTAGAATCATAAAATCTTAGAGTCAGAAGGTACCTTAGGAATCATCCAATCCTACATTTTGCAGATAAAGAAACCCAAAGATGGCAAGTAACTAAATCACACAGCCAGGTGGAGCCAGGACCAGAACTTGATTCCTGCAGTTTTTGCTCTAGGATTGACTCCTGGAGAACTTGCTTCATTCCCGACAGATGTCTCCTCAATACCCCACCAAGAAATGATGTTAATTCCCACTGTTTATACTCAAGTTGTCTCTCCTCCCCAGCCTGCCCTCTTTCCCTTGCTCCAGAGATCCAAATCCTTCCATCCTTCAAAATCTCTTCTTATTCTGTTCTTCATGACATTCCTCCTTCTCTGAAAAGTTTGTCTTCAATAAGACGCTGGAGGAAGAAAATCACTGTTGCCTGCTGGGCCAAGTTTAATGCATTCTAACACTTACCATAAAGCTAGGCTACTTGGATGATCTTCCCTGAAAGCATGCCATCCATTCCTCCCTCCATTGTTCTAGAAAGTCATTTTAATAAAGACTAACTCACATATAACACCTTCATAAAATGTGCATATATATGGAAGAGAAGCTCCCTCACATCTTTAACAGTAGACATGTAACACCTAAATAGCCCCAAATCACTTATCTTCTCCATATAGAAACAACTCTATTTCTTCCTCCTCTTCCGTACACTGTGCAATTTGGACACCCTCTTTTATTCTTTATTATTAGTGAAACTCATTTGCTACCCCTCATCCAACCTCAACTACCCAGTCCTTTATATAATAAGTCATATCTATCTCTTCAGCCTAAGGTCTTATGGTATCCCAACCCCCTGAAGGTCAATTTGTTTTCCCCCCTCCCCACTCTTCCTTCCTCTAGAAAACTGGTCCCAAAAGTAGTGTGGGTGCAGCTCAGAGGAAGCACAAAAAGATCTACTTGGCTGCAGGAAAAAAAATATATTGGAATTCTCATTATAGGGGCACCTGGGTGGCTCAGTGGGTTAAGCCTCTGCCTTCGGCTCAGGTCATGATCTCAGGGTCCTGGGATCGAGCCCCACATCCGTCTCTCTGCTCAGCAGGGAGCCTGCTTCCCCCCTCTCTCTCTGCCTGACTCTCTGCCTACTTGTGATCTTTCTCTCTGTCAAGTAAATGAATAAATAAAATCCTAAAAAAAAAAAAAAACCTCATTATACTTACTGTTTTCATCTCATGCCTTCCTAAATTCTATTTCTGAGTGCATTTATAAGTTACATAACATATTGGTACAGGAGAACAAGTACATATATAATTAACGATAACAAATTCTTGGGAGTATGTGCTCTTTTACTGATAAGAGGATATGATCAAAAGAGCTGGGAGACAACCATTCTAAAAATACCTTGATAATGAGGCCAAAGTAATAGGTCCCAAACTATACAGAAGATTTATGTACATATGCACACACTGTAGGAAGAAAACTCTTGTGCATATCCAAAGTCCTAACCATGCCCACCAACCTCTAACCCCTGCCGGGTTCTCAGAATCGCGTCCTACTCAAAAGAGAACGTAGGACAGTCTGGCAATGCCTTTCATTTCCAGTCTGGGAGGGGGGGTTGGAAATCCCAAAAGCGCTGAGATACTACCCTTATCTTTGCCTTATCAGAGTATTTCAAGTCACTGCTCACTATTCTGACACTGTTCACAGTACGACTTATACGTGTATATACTTTATACGCCACCAGCTCCTGAGATTCAGTTCCTATTTCCAAATCCCTCGAGGCACAACCGGTTCCCTTCGCTAACGACGGATTTACACTAACACCTACTGGACTGAGCTCACACCTCCCAGCATCCTTGCCTCCCCAGGGCATACTACCCACCGTCTTCCCCGAGCCACACAGTGTGTCCCAGGGTAGAGGACAGTCCATCCACCGCCCCTCAGACCACTTCTCTTCCCTTCTCCGCCCCCAGGAGCTGCCAGCCAGGCTGGAGACGGGAGGGGGGAGGGGTGTGACTCGCCTCCCGCGACTGGCCCAGATGGCAGCGGATTCCGCCCCCACTCTCAGGCACCCCGCCACCCCTAGACCCCTTAGAGCTGCCCGTCTCCTTCCCACCCCGCCCCAACCCCACCCCCGGCCTCCCCCACGCCCTCACGCCAGCTCCCACACACACTCACCATGCTGGGTGAAGATATTGAAGCCGGCCTCTGTGGTGCGCCCAGCCAGGTCCCGCCTGCGGCCGGAGGGCCTGGCTGCACTGCTGACCCGGATCCCGCGAGGTTGCGGCTGCTGAAGCCCCGGAGCCTCCCCAACGCGGCCCACCTGCTGCCCCATCCCTGCGCTCGCGTACTCCCGCGCCCCCGCCGACCCCAGGTCACATTCCTACTCGGCTTCGGCCTCAGGCTCCCGGCGCTGCTTCGGCCTCTCCTTCCCAGCCCAGGCCCCGGCCCCGAGCGGTAGGGCCGTCGGCGGTTCCGCACGCGGACTCCTCAAAGCAGCCGCCGCGCTGCCTCTCGGCGACTCACAGATTGTCCTTCTCGCTCCTCCCGCGGCTCCGCGCCCCCAACGCCGCCGCCGCCGCCGCCGCCGCCATCTTTAAACCACCGAGCGCTGGGAGAGCGTGGGACAGAGCGTCTCCCGCCCCCCACCCGACCAGTCACCTCCGCTACTCGGAGGGAGGGCTTCCCGGCGGCCCCGCCCCGCCCCGGCCCCACCCCGCCCGCGCCGCCCACGCCTCCTCGCCGGGTGGGTCCCCCCAGTGCCCACCTCGTCTGCACGTCCACCGTTCCTTCGGGTCTTTCGGTCCCTGTGTGTCTTCGCGCCACCTGGGCCTCCCAGGTCCGAGTTCGTCCTAGCCGACCCCTCCCAGCTCCGGCTCTACATTGCTACCTACCGCCTTTTGGAGCTGGATGGTCTAAAGCCTTCCTGGTCCTACCTCCACCTGTCAAATGAGTTGGTTGCGCTGAGCCCCCCAGGTAGCCCTGCTAAAGAGCAGGCACAGTTGAAAAAGGGAAGCGCAAGGCATTTGCTGCTTGCCTTCCAGGTGAGGACTCCTGAAACACCCAGGAGAATCCCTTCCAACTCCATTGTCAGCAGCAGGCCTAGAGTCGAAGATTATACAAAATTTACATGAAGGTAGTAAAAAGGTACATTATTATTTTATTGTAATTTTTTGAAATTATTTCATGATGTTAAATTGCAGTCGCCTCCGTTGTCTGCACTCTGCCGTCTCATTGGAGAAGCAGTTGTGGCCCCATTCCTCATATTATATTACCATGAATTTCTCTTGACCTCCTTCACCGTCTAACCATACGTGTGTTTCTGTTACCCTTACAATCCTTGACAGTAAAGCTAATCTTCGCACTGGTGTGATTTATATACAGTGCTCGTGGTCAGGTCTTCTTTCGATGACAAAGGGGAAAAAGAAAATTTCTCTTTGACCCTGCTTCTGAGTCAGATCTTACTCATCATTAATTTATATTGCCTAAAGAGAGTGACGCCAACAGCTGTTTTTTATACATGCACACACATATATATGTACAAATATTCACTAATCATTGCTCCTTTGCACATTCTGCATCTTAATACTGACCCAGGTTTTTTTTTTTTAATTCTCAAGGAACTTCATAGCTATCCTCTTAGTATTCCTTTCACTCCCTTATTTCCCTGATAAATATCAGTTATTACAGGTAACACACTGAAAACTTGCTTAAAATTAAAGCAGACAGGATGGGAGACATTGCAAAGAAGCAACAAAACACCCACTGGGAAGATAAGTTTGGGGGAAAGGTGGATGCAGCTCTTTTTTACACATCTTTCATAGAACCAGGGTGATCTTAGATGAACCATTCACTGACATTGATACTACTATCGGAGCGCTATCGAATTATTCCATTGCTATCCAGGGTGTAACCAGAAAATCTGAACCCCCCCCAAAAGAAATACTATACTTTGGCACTAGATAGAATATGAATTTTCCATTTGGATCAAAGTTTTCCTGCCATTAAAATATTTTTTCCTTTTAATTCCCAAGTGTTTGCAACTAGTAGGAGAAAATCGTTTACAAGGGATAGAGGTTATCATAGAGCTAGAACTTGGTTTGTTATTTGGTTTTTATTATCTGAAAGAATATTACTTTGAGGATAACGGTCTGGCTTCTCTGCTAATTCACACATGGTATGTAATAGATCAGTATTAGGATAGTAGTTAAGGCCAGGGACTCAGAAGCCAGACTAAGTTCAAAACTAGGCTCTGATACTTATTAGGTATTTGCTCCTGGGCAAATATTTAACCTTCTGGGTGTCAGTTCTTTTATCCATGAAGCGATGGTTATAACAATAATACCTATAGGGCTGTTGTTAGAATTAAGTTGGTTAACATTAAAAAATAACAATAATAAATAAATAAATTGGTTAACATGAAGCTCTTAAAACAGTATTTGACATTTAATGAGTGTCATAGAAGTATTAGTTCAAAAAAATTAATGTTTTCAGAAGTCCATCAGATTTTCCAAGCCTAATTTTTTCAAGTGGTACAACTTAGATTATGGAACAAATGCTACAGTATTTATTCAGGTGAGCCCCCCTTCCACTGGCCACCAGCTAACAACAAAAACACCAATCAACCAATTAAAACATGTAGAATCAAATATCACTTTATTAGTCATTCCTACATGGTTATGCACACATGGACTATATTATATAATCCATGATAATTTTATCACATATATATATATCATCATATATGTGATATATATGTATATATATCCTGGACTATAATCCATGATTATTCCTACATGATTATGCACACATGGACTATATTATATCATTCTTATTTTGCATATGAGGATTCCTCTACCATTGATTCTTAGGATCCTTTCTAGACCAAAGCAAATATTCTGTAAGGGGAGATTAGGATATAAGCATTATCTTGTAGATATTTTCCATTCTTTCATTTTCAAAGTGAATTGGGAACTTTAAGAATGAACCTTTAAGAATGGGAACTTTATAGACTAGGTAGAAACCTATTTCATTAGGCATGGGAAATTATTTCATCTCAATATAACCAAAGCAAGATGACTTACCTGAGGACAACATTTAAACAATCCCAAGTAGTATCATCTCAAATTGAACTGAGGGGCAGCTGTGAGCTCCAGGCAGGGGCAGAAACCAGATGAAAAAAAGTAGCGGGGATGATACACAGTAGCCCAGGGACAACCTCAACCAACCGATAGCCCGGGTCTGGCGTGGAAGAGCAGACAGACCCATCACCAACATTAACAAGGCACACGGAGGACATAGATGCTTATCATCTTTACCTTCCCTGTAATAGGAGCAATACCACTATTTCCCAGAAGCAAGGGACTTGTGAGCAATGCTCCCTTTCTTTACCACTCTGTGTTTCCAGGCTATCGTCACATTCTTACATTGTCTTTCATATCTACTTCTTTCTCTACCTCTGTATGAACACAGTGTTCATTTAGACTCAGGTCATCTCTGCTGGATTCTTCTGCTATTATAAGCCTATCCTTCCTAACTTCCTGATCTTTAGTACCAAACAACTCACTAAGACAAAAATATTTCTTCCTCTCATCACTTGGACAGTGTTTCCCCTTCCCTTCATTATGTGCAATGCCCAAATTTTTCACCTGTTTCAAAATTATTTTCCAGAACACCCTGGATTATAATTGTTTAATGTATGTCATCTCTTGGTCCTCAAACCCCCACCCCTCCTATGGCATGCATGGGTGTTTCATCCAATTAGCTTATTTCATGTCTTCTTTCTTAGTTATGACTTTTGCAATAATCATATTCTCCCCAATATGGCTCCCAAGTGACTCCTCTTATAGTACTCAGGATTCTACTGGGATCCTGCCTCCTTCATAAGAGAATCCCAGACACATCCACAGACACTTAATTTCCCTGGATTCTACCAGTCCATACCTAAAACAACCACAGCTGGGAACAATTCTCTGCCTTAACATTCAATTACCTTCCTCTAACATAATTGGAGGGAGGTTAGTGTTGCAATGCTGCACTGTTCCCTGTCTTTACCAGCCTGCATTTCCAGGCTGGTAAATGTGTTTAATTTTTTTTTTAAATATTTTATTTATTTATTTGACAGACAGAGATCACGAGTAGGCAGAGAAGCAGGCAGAGAGAGAGAGGAGGAAGCAGGCTCCCTGCTGAGCAGAGAGCCCGATGCGGGGCTCGATTCCAGAACCTTGGGATCATGACCCGAGCCGAAGGCAGAGGCTTTAACCCACTGAGCCACCCAGGCGCCCCTATGTTTAATTTTGACATTTTAATTTTAGCATCACAGGGTTGGAAAGAACCTTCGAGGTCACCTAGGCTAATCTGAAATTCCCTCGACAGTAACTTCAGTGACGGAACTCATTTATTTCGAGGAGTTCTTTTGTTTCTGTTTTTGTTTTTTAAGAGAGAGTCAGGGGCACCTGGGTGGCTCAGTCGGTTGAGTGTCTGTCTTTGGCTCAATCCTGGGATTGAGCCCAGTGGGTATCTGGTTCCCTGCTCAATGGGGAGCCTGCTTCTCCCTCTCTCTTCCCCTACTCATGCTCTCTCTATCTCAAATAAATACATAAAATCTTTAAAAATAAAACAGAGAGGGGCGCCTGGGTGGCTCAGTGGGTTAAAGCCTGCCTTCGGCTCAGGTCATGATCTCAGGGTCCTGGGATGGAGCCCCGCATTGGACTCTCTGCTCAGCGGGGAGCCTATTTCGCTTCCTCTCTCTCTCTGCCTGCCTCTCTGCCTGCTTGTGATCTCTGTCTGTCAAATAAATAAATAAAGTCTTTAAAAAAAATAAAAATAAAAATAAAACAGAGAGCAGGCGGAGGGGGGTGGAGAAGAAGCCTCCCAGCGAAACAGGGAGCCAGATGCCCATTGGGCTTAGTCCTGGAACTCTGAGATCATGACCTGAGCTGAAGGCAGACACTCAGCCAACTGAGAAACCCAGGTGCCCTTAAGGAGTTCTAATTGCTAAAAAGTTCATCCAAAAGATAAACTGACACCTGCCTCCTTGAAACTTCTACCTGTTTCACCCTGGTCCTAGTTCTACCCAGTAGCTAACAAAGCTAACCTTTCTTCTACACAACCACCCTTCAAATATTTGAGAACTGTCATGTTGCCCCAAATCTTTTCTTTTACTACTTGTATACGTGTATATGCTTGTTTAGTTATGTTTATCTCTGTTTATATTATCTACATGAGCTAAAAACATTTAGGTAGATAAATTGGAAGAAAAAAATGTCATTTTATACATAGCCTTTTTCTTTTTCTCCCCAGCTTTATTGAAATGTAATTGACATACAACATGCGGTTTAAGTTGTACAACATGGTGATTTGATACACATATTTTGCAAAATGATTACCACCGTTGCTTTAG